TTAGTAACCATGGCAACATCATTAATCGAAATCAAAAACCGATATATCGAATTATGTATCTTAGTATAGTCTATTTGTTTGCCAGGTTATACTGAAAGCAGACCAAAACTGTAGGAGGAGTAGAATTTTGAAAGTATTTCACAGAAATTTCTTAGTTTAGTTACCATGGCAACACCATTCACCGAAATCAAAAACTGATATCCAAAACTGTAGGAGGAGTATCATTTTGAAATATTGTTTACAGAAAGACGGACGGACGACGGACAACTTATATTACTATCGCATAAGTTCTTCTGGTCTCTGACCAGTAGAGCTAAAACATATCAGAGATTCCGATTTACCTTTTGATATTTTTAAGCCTACTAATTTCTCCGAAATACCTCCATAAAAAATTAATAAATCCAATCGTAGATTTATCTGTAACCGAATTTAAAAAATCAGAAACGAATTCTTGTTTTTAAACAGAAATTTGATGAAATAAAACATTCTAAAGGTTCTACAGTCGAGATTTATACGGATGGTTCAAAGGATAAAAATAGAGCTACATCAGCTGCAGTGATGGAAGGCAGTATTTTCTCTGCACGGCTTCCAAATGAAGCAACAAGTCAGCAGAAGCAAAACCCATACAACTTGCATTTGAATATATCAAATCTTCTAGTGAAAACGTTTTTACAATATTTTCGGACTCGCTCTCTTGCTTACAATATATACAAAATGATCAACCTTACATTTTAGATATATTAATTCAGTATTATCATTTCGGGCAACAAGGTAAAACAGTTAACTTCTGTTGGATTCCGAATCATATCGGCATCCCTGAAAACACTAAGGCCGACAATGCTGTTAAAACTGCACAACATGAAATCACTTTATTCAAAATTCCTTGCACCGATATCTAGTTCAAATTATGTTGATTCTCTTTGTCAAATTTATTGGGATTTTCGTGATGAAAGTAAGCTTTATGCTATTGAAAACAAAGTAAACAGATCATCTGACTTTGTCTGAAACGTCAAGACGAAGTAATTATTTCAAGAATACGTATTGGTCATTCAAAAATTACACAGGAATACTTATTGAATCGGGAGTCTCAGCCAGAATGTATATCCTTGGACTGTCCGATAACTATAAACCACATGCTTTTAGAATGTTCCAATTTCACACATATTCCAAGTAGACTTTTTGGTAATGTGAGAACGATGTATGAACTTTTTACAAATGTTAATGTTTATGAAATTTTAGAATAATGAAAACAATTTTTATGAGAAATACTATAACACAATTACTCTATGTGTTTGGATTAAGAAGACTTTTGTAAGTTTATAGTTTTATTATAAAGGCACAGCAAAGGCAAAAACAATGGTACATAAAAAAAGTTCAATGGCTGCAGGTCTCGGAGCCAAGATGGTAAAAGCTCACATATTCAGTCTTGGAGCTAAAATGGGAAAAAAGCTATAGATAGTCAGTGCGCATATCTTTTGTACAAGAAGCTGCATCATAGGGATCACGTATTTGGTAACAACAATCAGTAAGTTACGGTGTCACATAATTAATATTAATATAGTCCGCCCTTCACTGAAGCTGTCTCTTCTCCTTATAGGATACGGCAATGACCTCTGTTTACATTAACACTGTGTATTTTCACATTCCTCAGTTAATTAGATGGTTGCAGCTTTGCACAAAGTCAGATTGAAAAGTGTCAATGTTCGAGAACAATACATCGTAAAAACTAATTGTCCGTCAAATGAAGACGCTCACTTATTGTATCCAATCTCCCAGAGTTTGTAAACAAGTTCATAATTAAGTGGTTATTGTCCGTCGCTTTACGCACTGATAGTATCAATTATAATTTGTAACATAATATTTCAACATAAATAAATGCACTGTACAAATTAATATATCAATTTAAATTATAACTTATACGCTCATTGTGTTACAATTAGGGATGGCAATCAAATACAGAATTGCCAATCGGTTAACCGCAAGACGTTCCGACCGATTAGTCGGTTAATCGGATCAAAAATTCTCAACATAGCTAAACTCGAATAAGTAAGACTATAAAGATGTTCATGTAGTAATATTATGCTTATTATATGATCAGAATACTACATATATTGTATTTCAATTTTAATGGGCAAAAAAAGGGGGGGGGGAAGAAAAGAGAAAAAAACTAAGAAACCCATGAAACATCCTAAGATCGCGGATGCATAAAAAAAAATTCAGAAAAGATGTCATTCTGCATTTTCACGATAATCAAAATTAAGTCTGAATTATCGCTTACAAAGTTTGTTTTAGAATATAATTTGATAGGTAACTGCAAAGGATAGAAGAGGTAAGGTGCACATTATAATCAATTCAATTCAATTTATTCTCACATTGTGTAAAACAACATAGAGAAAATCCAACAACAATATCAAACAAAATACATGATGCAAAAGTGTACAGTTTACATTAACCTGGAAGGGTAACAGAAGTCAACGATCATTTAATTAAAATCATTAAAGAAACACGGGACAGGGTGAGTAACGACATGTGTTTAAACAGCAATTAGCGACTCGAAAAGTGACCAATTACCCCCACGTATGCAATCATTGGCGCTGTACATACATATAATAAAAAAAACAATGCATATGTTAAAATATCAAATAAAGTCTAAATGATCACTGGCTGTTTAAATAAAATATACTAGTGTTCACAATTAAATGTTATTTAAACGCACATGTGTAGTAAAACGCTTTGAGATGTTTAAAAATACAGAAATCAGTTAACATTCGAACGTTCGTTGGCAAATCATTCCAAATCGAAGGTCCAGCTACCGCAAAAGACCTAGAGGGAAATGTTTTGCGTCTTACGGACGGGACGTTTCGCTGCAGGATTTACGGATCGAATGCTATATGATGATGTTCGTAAACTGAGCATTTCTTTAAGATACTGTGGGCTGTCACTGTCGTTAATGCACTTGAAGACAATGCATGCAAGTTTGAATTTAATGCGGTAGTGTACCGGTAGCCAGTGTAGTCGTTTGAGTGCTTCAGTAGAACTATCCGTAGACCTCAGCTTCAACACAAGCTTTGCAGCACAATTTTGCAACAACTGTAGTCTTTTAATTTAAGACTTACGAAAGGATGACTTTAAACGAGACTGTTGAAATTCTTGTTTCATCAATTTGTTTGTCATTAACTTACCTTGTTTTAGAAATTGTTCATACGTAGAACAAGCTCTTCCGTATCGAATCAACTGAGAGATATACACCCCATATGCAGATGATAATGGTATATTGGTAAGGGAATTTGACGATTGAAAAGTTAAAGACATCACGTTTATCATAAAGCTTTGTTGTTAGATTAACATTAACGTCTTTTACTAGTAAAATATCCAAATACGAAAGAGATGTGTCAGACTCTGATATCTTTTATTTCTACCTCACTGGGATATATTGTCAATTGATAATACGTCGCCGATATATCTTAATGTCCAGTTGAAGGCCACAGAAGAGATTTCTTTTTCTCGTGTATAAGTAAGGTTTTAGTTCAACCAGACACTTGGCTTTCTTCGTAAACTCTTACTCTGCCGATATTATAAAGCAAGTGCAAAACAAAGGAGGAAGGAATAAATACAAGTTGTAAAGTTTGCATCCTTTTACGATCATTTCTGTTAACAATGAAAATATAGAAACGCTTTTTAGTAACTGCTATACGAATTTACGTGTTATTTAGAATAAACAAGAAGTCTGTGAGCGAATGCTCACTAGTTTTACCCCCACTCTGATGTGAATATACACTTTCATGTAGACATCGAATTCATACAAAAATGAATCAATCCCGCCATTTGACATGCCTAAACAAAGACTGTGCTAAAACTTCAAGCATCTGCGCTGAGTAGTTCCTGAGAAAATTGTGACGGAAATTTGGTAATGACAGAAGCACGGATAAACAGGAAGCTAACATCGGATTCGAACATAAATTAATCCCACCATTTAGCATGGCTATACAGATTTTGTGCTATAATTTCCAGCATCTGTGCTGAGCAGTTGCTGAGAAAACTGACGGAAATTTGATACGAACAGACGCACGGTTTAACAGGAAGTTGATATCGCATTTGAAATAAATCCTCCCATGTGGCATTCCTAAACAAAGATTATGCTAAAATTTCAAGCATTTGCGATGAGTGGCTGCTGAGAAAACTTACGGAAATTTGGTACGGACAGAAGCCCAGATAAACAAGAAGTTGACATCGGATTCGAACAAGAATAAATCCCACCATATGGCATGACAAAACAAAGATTGTGCTAAAATTTCAAGCATCTGTGCCGAGTAGATGCTGATAAACTGTGACAGAAATTTGTTACTGACAGACACACAGACAGAAACACAAGGGTAAAACAGTACACCCCTTCTTCCTCAGAGCGGGGGTATAATAACTGCCTTTTTCCGGTTTGTTTTGACAATTTTTTTTCTTACGATTGAAAATCTTGAGATATTGTTAAGTCGTACGAAAATTAGATCATAGAAAATTATCTCCCTTGCCCTGAACAGCATTTCTAGAGCGCTCGCTCCGTGATCAGAAGGTCTTTTGTTCGAATAACGACCGCAACTGACCTAAGTTGACAAAAAATAAGTAGCAACTATTCCTTCGCCGAGCGCTCGGCACTTTGAAGTGAAAGTTGTGGGTCCTTCGGATGAGACCTTAAAAACCGAGGCCCCGTCTAACGGTAGGCGTTGGCACAATAAAGAACCCTCACTGCTCAATGGCCCTGAGTGCCGAGTAGAGCTCCAAATTTGAAGCCCTTCATCGGTATATGGTGACGTCTCTATATGAGTGAAAAATTCTCGAACGGGACGTATAACAACATACAATCAATCAATCAATCTGAACAGCATTTTAACCAACGAAATCATTGAAAATTTTCACATCATGCAATTTCTTCCAATCACAAAAGATCTAGGGAGGAAGTACATTGTCCAAAGACTGTATACCGTCTTCCTTGGAACATATTAGTCATTTTAAGATGTGTCCATGTCTTCTTCTACCACCAAGTCTCTATCCTTCACTATAGAGACGTTTAATACCTGAAGAATGGTTTTAATTTTACACACTGCAGTTCTTGGATTAAAAATATGGAAAGCAAATGCAATTCCAAGAGGCTTCAATTGATTTTCATGTCTGTCGATTAAATAAACCCCAGACCCAGAGTCGCCTTCCCTGAAGAAAATCTCGCCCTGATCTGCAATGCTGTAGCAATTTCTAAAGACTCGTGGGATCATATATCCATTCACCAGTGAATCCACTTTACAGGAATACATTAGGCAGTACAGAATACCTTTTGTTTTAAGAGTTGCTCTCCCATATTTCACTACTTCTGTCTTGCCGTTAGAACAAAGTAAATGTTCAGAGGCGGTCCTCATCACAACTTGTTCTGAAAGGAAAAATAGAATTCAAATCAATGATTTATTAACTCCCTTCTTCCTCTCCTGTAAGCAATAATTTGATTCACCGGGTATGATACATACGGGTAACCTGGCACATTTTCATCATGAAACGAAGAAATCCTAGTATTGCGGAAATAACCCATACGCGCAATGTGCTTGGTACAAGTTCGCGGTATTTGTTGGCTTGGACAAGAAAAAATTAAATGTTTTGCCTTCAAAATTGTACACAAAAATAACTTAAAGAGACTTTATTCCATGATTAAAGTCAATTCGTATAATACAGGGTGTCCAAAAATATATAATACCATTTGAAATACCTGCCACAAACACATCCATTGGCCAATTTCTTTGATATATGTCTCTAAAAATATTTGAATAAGTACACTTTTTTAGCAACAAAATATTCCAAAAAAATTCTCACACTTATGAAATTGCAACGAATCAAATTTACGTCAAACTTTTGCAAAAAAACTGCAATTTCAATCAAAGTGGATTATCAAAAGTGCTGGCTACCCTCATTTTAAAACTGTAATTATTAATTCTAGTCTTAGGTTACTGCTGCTAAAACCAAACCAGAATACTTAACATATATTAAAAGTTTAACTGATGAAAATCCTGAAGTTATTACCGAGACAGGTACTGCTGTCTCAAGTTAAGGAATTCTGTGCAATATCATTACGCAGATAGAACGTCATTTAGAGGGCATCATTTAAAAACCAAAGCATTTTTCAAAGTGAACTTTTATGCTGTTTTTCTTTTTAATGACTGTCAAATTTTGTGAATAAAATTGGACAATATATGCAATGTTTATAATGCATTTGTTGTAATCCAATATTCATTACATTAGGTTTTACAGGATCTTGAAATGGTATCATATATTCTGGGACACCCTGTATATCATAACAAACACAAGACCGAAGACAGATGAATTTTGTGGGGATATGCAAATTGGCCATCATGCTAACGTACACCGTTGTTCCTATTTGTTTTTGTGAGACCCAATATTCCGTGTTAATAGTTGTTATCTACCCGTAAAATTTGTTTTTATTTGTTCCTACTTTATACTTGTTACTGAAAACAAATGAATGGTACTGGTTCACAGAATACGTTGAAAAAAAAAATCTCGTCTGCAACGCATATTTTTCATCGAAGTTGTCCATTATGGAAAGCAACTCTGTAATTTTTAAAATGTACAGATGTAAACCTAATTTCTAAACTGAATAGGTCATTAATTGTAAATATCCTAATTTGTAAATGTTTTATCTCAATTTGTTAATTGTAACTTTCCAACATATCTTTATTGGTTTAAAAAATGGGTATATGGGTAATTTTTTTTAGTTGGCATGTTCCCCCTTTACCAAAATGTCCTGCAATAAACACACACACACACACACACACACACACATATATATATATATATATATATATATATATATATATATATATATATATATATATATATATATATATATATATATAGCAAAACTTGTATAATCTGGACACCACTGGTGCCGGATTAGGCAACATCTCGGATTAGACAACATTTATAACAATTATATTTACTGTAAGGGACTTAAAGCTTACACCGAAATATCTCCATTTCTATTTGTTTTCTCTGTGATAACTCTTTGAAAGTTAGTTGAGTTGATTTCATGATCATTCTACCGGAATGGGAATTTCGCCAAGCGAAAGGTCAGGTGCTAAGGAGGCCTAATATGCATGTAAATCTCGTGCAGCTGCCATTGTGTTTGACGTCAGTGGGCGGGGACTCTTGAAATTGACACGTGAGGCCTCGTGTAATTTAAATCTATTAGTCAACATTTTTACAATCTAAATTTACAAATTTATTTCACAATGGAATGGAAATATAAGGAATCACTATCTAGTTAGTAGAGTATGCCAGGGACATCAACGATAGTTGGAAACGTGGGATAATTTATGCATAACGGGCTTCGTTATGCAAATTATCCCACGTTTCCAATTATCGTTGAGCCCTGGCATACTCTACTAACTAGGCAGTGATTCCTTAATTAAACAAGATTTTGGATTACACAACATTCGCATTAAACATATATAGAGAGAGAGAGAAAGATAAATCAGAGCGGGGCAAATCAGATAAAGAATTTGATGAAAATATTCAACAGAAAAGCAAAGAAATTTCAAGAATAAATAATTAAGCAGTATGTAAGTTCTGATTTCTACCGAAGTTTTGGAAAATATTATCTTTAAATCTCTGTCCAAACCCCTTTAAAGATGATGGATCTTTCGACAATATCGTTTTATATTATTTTCTGTTATATTAATTTTCTTTTACAATCCTTAACTAGATTTAAAGACACTTTTTTTTTACTTCGGTTTGTTCAACCTTTCTTTGCTTACTGGTTTATTGCTATATTTTTATACACAAAATACTTGTCATAAGCTTGTTTAAAAGTAACTGGTGAACTAAATATTGTCTGTCATTTGTAATAACAAAAGAAAAACAATAATATTAAGGTCAGGGTCTAGCAAATGAAAGGTCAAAATTGAAAAAAAGAAATGAATTTGCTTAATGATCTTTATTTACCATATCTTTGTTTAAAAGTTGTATTGGGGCAGTAAGTTTGCAAACAAACAAAATGAGTTTTGAATCTTTCTTTTGAAAAATAAATGAAGAAAATCGACTTTAAATTTGTGCCTTTTTCCAACTCTTAGAAATGAGAGTTATCAAGATTGCTAACAGTCTCTTAGAGAACGGTAATTTGTATGATCTCGATTAATCATTTGTATTGTTCAAATAGGCCTGCATGTTACAGTACCGACCAGACACAACCTAACAGAAAGCGAACCAGAGCGCACCCCGGGTTCGCTCTCTTGATTCGCTTGGGGTTCGCTAAGGCTGACCCCAAGCGAACCCAGAGCGAACGCTGAAAGCGAACCCCAAATTCTGTAGCGGTCCAAGAAAGCGAACGCGCGTTCGGTGTTGCATATCAGAGCTGTCAATCATTATTAGCGATTAACCCATCAGCGCGTCGACCAATCAACATGCCGAACAGGTCTGTCAATCTGGATAAGTGATAAAATGCGTTGACCATCAGCGCGTCGACCAGTCAACATGCCAGTTTGTCATCTAAACATTGTACAAGCAAAGCGTGTGAATGTACAGTGTAAAAATATTATTAATATGATTTTTAAACATGATTTTATATTTATATATTTTAATTCTCCAGACAGCATGCACTATTTTCATATTTATAAGGTCACCTGAGTGACTCAGGTGACCTATTGCTATCTCTTTTCGTCCGTCGTCGTCCGTCGTTCGTAAACTTTTGAACAATTTCAGCTTCTTCTCTGAAACCAGCAAACCAATTTCAACCAATTTTGGCGTTTAGCATCTATGGGAGAAGGGGAACAAAAATTATGAAATTCGTGGCCCCTGCCCCCCTGGGGCCTGAGGGGTGGGGCCAAAACCATCAAAATTAATACAATCTTTAAAAATCTTCTTCTTTACTCCTGGACATCAAGCAGTCAAACTGTTGGCATGATTGTAATAAGCATTGAACCCTCTACCAAAATTATGAAATTCATGGCCCCAGGATCAGGGTTCTGGCACTAGGGCGGGACTATATAGATCATATAGTGAAAGTGCATTATTTCTTTGAAAATCATCTTCTCTACTCCTGGGTATTGTTGAAACAAATTGAATACATAGTTATAATAAGCAAGGGTGACTCTACCAAAAATGTGAAATTCATGGCCCCAGGGTCAGGGGTTCTGGTATTAGGGCGGTGCTATATAGATCACATAGCGAAAGTGCATTATTTCTTTGAAAAATCTTCTTCTCTACTCCTGGATATTATTGAAACAAATTGAATACATAGTTATGATAAGCAAGGGTGACTCTACCAAAATTGTGAAATTCATGACCCCAGGGTCAGGGGTTCTGGTGCTAGGGCGGGGCTATATGAATCATATAGTAATAGTGCATTATTTTTTGAAAATCTTCTTCTCTACTCCTGGGTATTATTGAAACAAATTGAATACATAGTTAAAATTAGCAAGGGTGACTCTACCAAAATTGTGAAATTCATGACCCCAGGGTCAGGGGTTCTGGTGCTAGGGCGGGGTTATATAGATCATATAGTGAAAGTGTATTATTTCTTTGAAAATCTTCTCTACTCCTGGGTATTACTGAAACAAATTGAATACATAGTTATGATAAGCAAGGGTGACTCTACCAAAATTGTGAAATTCATGACCCCAGGGTCAGGGGTTCTGGTGCTAGGGCGGGGCTATATAGATTATATAGTGAAAGTTAGCTGCAATAATGTAGCCCTTTCCGATTTTTTTTTTCGGGAGAGGGCTACAACTCCTTAGGATCTCCGTAATGGTGCATGTGCGGGAGTTATTCACTACCGCACAGATTTCAGCTCAGATTATCAGTAAGTGGGTATTTTATTAACATATCTTACCTGAACTCATAAAATGTAATTATGCAAGACATGAATTGATCCAAAAATATACAGAACAATCCGTATATAGGTTATTTTTCGTGTATGTCAACATCACAACTTGAATTTATCCGCCATGTTTACTGACCTTGATTGATTTTATTTTGGGACAACCAATGAGAATTCAGGATCTAGGGGAGCGGATCGTTTAGGATTTCCCTTACTTTAAGCTTAAATATAACTGTTTTTGAAAAAATATCCCATGGAATGCTTTTATTTATCGATGTTTAATGATATCATACAACACAAACATTTATCACCACCGACATTTACTTTATCAAATGATTCTAAATTTCAAGCGCAAGTCTCAGTACATCACGCGAGAACTGTCATGGCTGCTGAGGAGAACGACTGGTAAACACGCAGATTTATTTTACTTAATTGGTTTTCGCGTATAAAGGGCTATGATGTTGACAATGAATAAAAATTCCGTTTCATTGGAAGTAAGTTGAAAGCAAAAACAATTTATTTTGACTGCAGTCGCCCGTATCTAAAAA